TATGTACTTATTGACTGAGTGGGAGGGCCGTACGGGAAAATATTTGGCTCGAGGTCATGTCGTACGGACCGAGCGCAGCGAGGTCCGTACAAATGACMGAGAGMCAAATRTTTTCCCSTACGGCSCGACCTAACTCAGTCAATAAGCATTTTATCATATGACCCTCACGAAAATAAAAATAAATAAGAAAAAGAAAGCGTGCGGATTTGAGCAGGGCCGGACGGGTTTTTCCGGCCCACTTACGTCAACCCGTCCGGCCCCCATCACGTGACTTTTTCCAATGGTTTTATTAGAGCGCGTGAGCAGGGCCGTATGGGTCATATGATAAGTTAATTTAACACCTTATCTGATAATGAATGAAGTTCATTATCTCGTATCATAAAAACAAATAACTCCTACCCTTCTTGCAGTATCTTAAAAGATGGAATGCAATAGCAAACTCCTCTAGGGATAATTTGGCATCCCTATCTATGTCAGACAAATTCCTGAAATAAAGAAAAAAACCCAGTAAGTATAATTAATTAAGATTTTCAGAAAAATGGAATATGTAATTTATCCTACACATAGAAGATTTAATGGCTAATTTAAAGGTGACAAGATATTTCTGTTGCTTTTTAAAATATTTATAAGGAAATAACAATAATAAAACATATTTCATGATTATGAATTTAAGATTCAAAAGGATTGGATTTCGAAAACATTCCATTGGATTTCCATAATATTTGATGTTCATTAGCTAAAATAATGTAGTTTAATCCATGGTTTTATTTTATAAGAATTATATGTAATTTCACATTATAGCAATGCTTATGTTCATTGCATAAAATTTTGGTTAGAATTTTTGTAGCTTACACTATCTTACCATATCTTTGATAAAGTACTTGATTCAAGATTGGACAGCATCATGATGCCACAAGCTGTTTCTGCTATAAATAATATTATGCAAATAGCTTGAGTAAAAGATAAGATGCTGATATTAAATTATATAAATAAATATTTAGGATGTAGAACTTTGTGATGTGTGTGAGTGGAAGTGTAAACTCCCAATTAATTATTCCTACATGAAAGGTTTTTATCCAACCCTTTATATGCATAGCAATAAGACAGAATATTAGCTTTTTTTTATAAATCAATAATCCATTAATTCTGGGCAAATTTTGGAAATATTGTAATCTGTATGCCAATATTGTAAACAAATATATGCAACAATAAAATGCAACACATAATCTTTAATATTAATATTTAATGGCTAATAATCTGTTCCTTCACAAAAAACTGCGAATAATTCTAAAACCCTAACACAGCCTCAATATTGTACATTGGCATTTCAATATTATAATTTTATAAATAATCAATATTATATACATACTGTCCAGAAAACCAGAAGCATTTGCATCCTTCCAAACAAACGTTTTATAGTACGCATTCCATTCTTCAGTACTCATTGGTGGGACAACAGTTAAAGTTGCTCGTACAGGAGTCAGTGAAGTAGGAAGCTTTTCTGGAAGTTCAGATCCTCTTAGTCTTAGCTGTATTAGGTGCATTGCTGTAGCAAATTCTGAAACATCCAGTAAATTATCTCGGCTGATATCTGCTAGTTTCCTGGGGGAAAAATATACCCAATGTTTTGAATGGAAATCATCAAATTTAGTAAATATAAATGCACAATGCACATTATTCCATTTTAATAACTTCCATTTAAGACTGACATATACTACTTATGAGTATCAGTGCATGGAGAAGGGAGTAATGACTCAATGAACCAAAAGATACACCTATTTCAAAAGATGTTGACACTCCTACATCTGAAATGGGTGATCTTAGACTTAAACGATTTTTTGTACTTTCATGTTTCTGGCTAAAATGCAAATCACATTATTTTCTAACTCTAAGTTGTAAGGTCATGCTTCACATTCCAATCTAAATGGAAACTACTTTCTTCAGATGTGAATGGACCGGATTACAATTTGCAGCAAGCTAGCTACTTGGTCTCAGATTTCAGATATCATAATGTATATATGGTCTAAAATGAGAAAGGTCACATTTTCTGACTCCTACAGCCAGGTTGTCGTAGAATCACATTTTAGGGTTCATTTTAAAATATGCTGCCCATAAAACTCATCTGTTTCATCCCCTTGCTTAATACAGGGACCACAGAGGGGTATGGGGTGGGGGGCCTATATCCCCCTCACTATTTTTTCCTATTGCATACTTAAGTCTCTAATATTTTCCAATCTTAGACCCCAACCCACTTCCAATTTTTAGGCTGCTCCACAGTCCTTGCCTAATATGAGTGCTATGTGTGCATGGCCTTTTTCCTTCATCTTTATTTGTGAAAGTCTCAAAAACTTGACTGCATTAGTTTGGTAATAGTAATATATATATACAATAGCTAACTCTATGCCTAAAATATGAAATATCCAATGACATTGTTAAAAACATTATAACATTGTATTTTTTATAGATTGCTTAATGAAGTATGCAATGTTATGCAGGAGGTTCCACTTTTGAGAAATGCAGCTCAGTATTTTTTGATAGATGTTAACTAAACACAGACAATATATTTTTTCTAGGCTTTTTTTAATTGAAACCTTGCACCTGCTGAGATTTTGAAGCGTGAATAGTATCCACTGAAGCTCATCACATACCATGCCATAATAGCAGTTTTTCTCAGCATGATCAATACCCATGGGAATTTTGCAAGCAATAGATTGGAACAATAGAAAATATGAATATTTTTTTCTCAGCCCACACAACTGTGTTCTTATTTTATTTCTTCAAGTTATGCTCCTATGATTATGTGGAAGTTTCATTGAATAATGTTGCTTTCTCATGCAGTAAAAATATAATTTCACCAAAAATCACAAAAGCATTAGACATTATTTCACATTTATAATATCAAAATTACCTTTAGTATTATTTTGTTATCTTTAAAAGGGATGATTTGTTTTAGCAATATGCAAATAGCACGTTAGAATTTTCTAGCTTAATCACTAAATCAACATTCAACATGTATTAAATGCATGCAAAACCAATGGAGCATCTTTAATATAATAAATAAAGAAGATATTATTTAATATGTACTATCAATCTTTCCTTCTTTCTTTGACAAGAAGCCAAGCAAAAATAAATAACAGTCAAAAAAACCGCTTTTCGAGTACGAATTATTATTCAAGTGTATTGTTTGTACACGTAAACTTGGACCAAACTTTGAACCACGATATTATGTTTGTATAAAGTCAAGCATAAAATATAACGACTTATAGATAGAAATTATATTCTGTAATCCTCGTATACAAAGATAACAGCTTATCTAAAGAATGCCGTCAATCTTTGAAAATCTTTTTTTATTTGTGCTTTAAAGATAGTAATTTAGTAAAGCACCTATACAAAAGGTCTGGCTTACCCCCTAATTTATCAGGACTCGGAATGATATGTTAAAAATTAGCTAATGACCATATAAATATTGCCAACACTGAAACAATTTCAAAGAAAATTATTACTTTTCGTATAGAGAAACCAATGATATTAACAGACATAAGACTTATTCTCCATTTTGCTAACAGAAAATATCTAGCACTCATTACTGAAAAAATAAAATAAAATAAAATAAATAGAAACTATATTGAATGTAAACGGCAGAACGTTTATGTTAGTAACCCATTAACAACCTTCGTAACTTATTTACCATATTTTGCTGAGTTCTGAGAGTGGTAGCCTAGAACGTATGAATAACGACCTTGCTTGTTCCCCTACAACATAAGGCAACATAATATTCAGATAGGGTCAATGTAAGAATGAACGTATTTTGAAGTTTGAATAATATAAACAATATACTCGAATTTGGAAAATCGCGGGACTCTTTACCGGATAAGTATCCCTTCTTCGGGTTCTGACTGTAGAACAGTGCATCGTGTCTTGTTCTTTCTTCTTCAGTTATCACCCACTTTAGATCTGTATCCATATCGTAAAGTGAAAACGTCCCAAAACTGAATTATCATTAACACAAAGTTAGCTTGAAGCTTTCTCGTCTACCGTTTCAAGTCCACCTTGAGCGTTCTGTTATACCAATCCAAGGAAATTTACGTAGCTTTTTGATAACTTTTTGCTAATAAAATTTAAATACAAAATATTAAAGTATTCTCGAAAAAGTCGGAGTCTGTACACAACGCTAATCTAAACGTAATGTCTTCTCCCACTTGCCAAATCATCCGTATGTATATTGTGCATAGTTGTTTAGTTTGTAGGCATTGTCGTCACGGCTCGATGACGCTATGCCCAGTCTATTTTATAGTGACCCAACACTTGAAATTTGAATCGGGGAGGGGAGTAAAATGAGGCTTTTGTTCTGCGCCTCAATATATTATCGTTAATTAATAAAAGAACGTCAAGTGCTCAGGTTTGAGATTAAATGTCTGGATAATCATATCGATAACTCTGTCGAAAACTGTATGTGTAAAAACTTTTCAGGAATCAATTAAAACATTGGGTTTCCTGTGGTGATTGAGCCAGCTATTGAAAGGATCAGCGGCGAAAACTACTGCACGTGCAAAGATGGCGGACAAGAAAGTGAACATTGCTTTAAAACAGAAAGAAATCAAAGAGAAAACAAAGCTGATCCTTGAAAGTTCTTCTAACGCGAATCTGTTAGTTGACTTGATAGAATCTGCTGATACGGATGATGAAGAAATTATTCTTACTTTTATAAAATCAGTGCACAAAATTTTCTTGGCTTTCCTGAACGACCGAAAACTCATGCATGGCACAAAGTCTTCGTCTCATCAAGCCAGCCAAGAAGAAAGAGAAACGTCAGGTGACAAGAAAACTGAAGATCCCGAGGATGTGTTCAATTCATGGCTGTATGACAAGTACCTCGCAACTCAAAGAAAACTGTTGAGTTTTCTTCATCATGTATCTGTAGCTGTCGCAGAACTTTCCCTTTGTAGTCTAATGAAGTTCTTGGTTGAAGAATACAAAGGGAGAACCCATGAAAAGTCAGCTGTTTTCCCTGCTGTTTTGTTTGCAAAAATATTTGAGGAGCTGGTTCGTGGTGACTACAATATGAGTTCTTTAATTGATAGATTCAGTGAATATGTAGAATATGACGATATAAGATTTCATCTTTTGAAAAATATAAGAAAGGCCCTTGAAAATGAAGAAGATTTTCAAAGGAATGGGAGATTCTTCAAGGGGAATATCCATGCATTGCTGAGTCAAGTGAAGGTTCCAGGTGATAACGATGAAATAAATAACTTCTTGGTGTTGGAAAACAATCTTCAAGGACCAGAAGGAAAAGATAGCAAGCCTGAAGTATTTCTCTTAAAAGCACACAAGAAGCACTTCAGCAAAGCATGGCTTTTATTTCTAAGTAAACCTCTGTCTCCAGAAATCCACAAGAAAGTTCTTCTAAATCTTCACACCAATGTAATCCCATATATGAATGATCCTAAGATGTTGATGGATTTCCTTACAGATTCATACAACTTTGGTGGAGCTACTAGCCTGCTAGCACTCAATGGGCTTTTCATATTGATCCATCAATACAATCTTGATTACCCTGATTTCTACAAGAAATTATATGCCTTACTTGAGCCAGAAATTTTTCACATCAAATATCAGTCCAGATTTTTCCATCTTTTGGATCTATTTCTGTCATCTACACATTTACCAGCTTACTTGGTTGCTGCATTTGCCAAGAAGCTGTCAACTCTTGTATTATCTGCTCCTCCTCAAGGTGCAATCTTGGCTGTGGTATTTATTGGAAATCTTTTGAAAAGACATCCAAGCTGTCAAGTTTTAATTCACAGAAAAGAGGTGAGTCTGATCACAGAGGTGGGTCTGATTCATATGTTGGATAATTGTTGATAAACTTTAGACTTGCTAATATACAAGATTAATATTTTACAACAGTTTTTCCACTCCTTTTAAAAGACACCATGGACAATGTGTACATGATTGAGTTAGCATTAGGCTTGCCATTTGTCAGCAGAAGTTGCATTGCTTAAATGGCATAACATCACTTTTCTATGGCATGTTTCAGACAATCCCACAGTGGGAGGGGGGATGATGACCTGTTAAAACACAGCAAATTAATTAGGCAATCAACACCACTTTTCATTTGCTTGCTATTCTTGTACAGAATGGCAACTTTTGACATGTCTACAATTATGTGGGTTGCACACAAATGCAAAGGCATTTATTGGCTAATTTTGCTTTGTTTTGACAGGTCATCATTTTCTCATATGCTCATTACACCTAGTGATATTAATTTGCTAACCAGAGCTTTATTGGCTATTGAAATAAGGCAATTTTTTGATTTAATGGTCAACAAATTTGAATGAGAAAAATACCTGATGTCAATGTGCATAAGCTATAAATATTGCTATTGGTTTGAGTGTACAGCTCTAATGTCTCTATTTTAGACCATGTAGCATTCCTTAAGAAATAAGGTTCGTTTTGAGTTTCATTCGATTTTTTAATATATTAATTATACAACTTCTCATTAATCCCATATGGGTAACTGTCCAATTACTTTCTTAATTAGAAAGGTCTTTTCGATATGGGATTAATTAGGCAGCTATATATCTAATAGGTAATGGGATTTCATGCTCCCCAATCAAGAAATAATTAGACTCGAAAAATTCCTCTGACTGCGAAATTGAACTCGGCCTACGGCCTCATTCAATTTTGTCAGTCCTTGGAATTTTCCTCCAATTATTTCTTATTTGGACAGCATGGAGTCCTATTACATATACTAAATGTCATAAAAAAATGGAATGACACATGTTTTAAGATGAAGAAAGTTTGTTATTGTAAGATTCTTATTGTAATTACTTTAATGTGTCCCAATACAGGTGTCCAAACTTCTCCTTAGTGGTGATGTTGAAGAGAATAATGTCCCTTCTATAGAAAGTGACCCATATAATCCCAAGGAACCTGATCCAGCCAAGTGTAATGCCATTCAAAGTTCATTATGGGAGTTAAAGACTCTTCAACACCACGTCTATCCCAAATTGCCATCATTCATAGAGTTTTTTGAGAAGCCACTTGGAAAGGAAGACATTGACATATCTAAGTACTTTGATTCCAGTTATGATGACCTTTTTGAGAAGCAGTGCATTAAGGTAACTGAAAATAATGCTATATTGGAATATGAACAACCTAAAGGATTTTTAGGCAAGAACTTTGATGGATTTTGGAGTATGGAGTAAGGGATATTTCTTATGTACTGTAGTGCATTATTAGATTATGGTACTTGAAATATATAGGTCACAAGAATAAATTATAGTGGTTGAACTGTCGATGAAAATTATGATTGTAACTGTAAAATTTTTATAGATAAACACTTTACAGTAATTCAAGTGATAAACTTCGTGGCCCTTTTTAAACATCTTTAGTTGATTAAGGACATGACTACCATTAACTTGGTCATTCAAGCCACATCTGATGTGTACAAGCCAAGCTTTCTGCTTTTGTTTTTTAGCGATTCGTATACACAAAGGTACTGCACAACTAGAAACCATAATTTAAAATGAGTGTAATCCTACTATATAGCTAAAGAAATAAACTATGATGAATTTTTGCGCGTTTGTATAAAGTCAATTTGTTTTTCCCACCAAAGTGCTTTAGCCAATCAGAAAGGCCCGTTACAAAGAGCACCTTCTCAGTTATTTTAAGACCCTTAGTGTTGGTTGGCCTCAAACTAAGCAACAGCCTTCAGCACAACAGACCAATGCTCTACCAATTGAGCTAACTGAGTGGTAGTTTACGTACAAGTATAGACTGTTCCTATTTTCAATGCTGTTTTTAATACTTATTACTAGTGTAATCGAAGGCCATAAATTTGCACCATAATTAACTGGAGTTTAAATATGGCATGGTTTCTATAACAAAGCCAGGAGTCTTAATACGGCATGGTTTCTATAACAAAGCCAGGAGTCTTAATACGGCATGGTTTCTATAACAAAGTAGACTGTGTAAATCGAGTGAAAGAATTAAGTGAAAGAATAAAGCAATCAAAAGAATAAGAAAATACTTACAAAAACAAAATGATCTAATAATACTTATTTGAATATTAGATGAAACAAAAAAATCTGTTAGTAACATGTAAGCTGGAAAATTATTAATAGTTAACAATTAAACATAGAAACTTAGGGGAAAAAAGAAACTTATTATGAGCTACAGTATTACTTGAAATGTTTGTCTCTGATTTAAAAAAATTAAAACAATTTTATGCCCAAATATAAATGGCACACTTAATTAAAGAAGATCTGTGTTCACAGATCAAACCAGTATAATTGATTAAATTAATGCTTCTTAAACAACAAAAAAAAAACAATTTATTTTCGAGCTTTAGGGCATTAGCTAGCTGGCCCCACCATTACCATGGTATAATTCGTCATAACAAATTTTATGTTTGAAATTACATGAGTGTACGCAAGCTAAGTTGTGTTACCCTGTGCACGCTCTAATAGTGGTAAATTGCTGGATGATAAAAACCACTTTACATGGTTTTGCAAAATTGTTTTAAATTTTTTGAAGCTAAGTTGTGTTAGAGTGACCACAGTAAATCCGTGAAACTTTAGTAATACTAAATAGCAAAATTTCATGCAAATTCCATTGTTTTCTATTGTTTAATTAGCACTATTTTGTACTATTTAGTAATTAGTGTTTCACGGATTAATTGTTCATACTCTAACCTGTGTGTGCTCTAATAGTGGTAAATAGCTGGACGGTAAAAACAACTTGACATATGGTTTGTAAAATCGTTTTTGAGTCAGAGACAAGCATTTCAATTATAGTATCATTATGAGCAGAGTTGTTTACCAATAAGGGCATAGCCAGCCCACGGGGGAAGGGGTTAAGAGGCTCTGGAACACTTCCTTTTGAGCTTTAAATTTGAATATTCGGTTGTACATTGTATATCATTGCAAGGAAGAGAGAACGCATACATATTTTAATATAGATAAAACTGCTTTTATAATAACCCTTAGCAAGGGCTGATCCAAGCAAAACCTGTTGGACCTTTCGATGGCCAATCACTCTTATCCACCTTCTAGTTCAATATAAATTTCTACGAAAATACAAAATTTTCGTAAAACCTGTGACAAAACTCAATTCTAGGATAAGACAATCAATTGAACCTTAGAGGGTTCTCCATCCCCTGATCCTTCCCCTGGATCCCCATCCCCCACTGCTTGAAACATATAGCTGTAGCCAAAAATAAGTTTACTTCTAAATCTTACTACATACATTGTACAAATGTCACGTTTCTGTCTGACGAAAGCATACTATTAAAAGTTCTATTTTCAAGTGGCCTCTTTAAAGAGATACTTGACATATTGATCTTGCAGTTGAAGTCACGTCCTGACTTCTTCTTTATTCCAAAGGATTTAGCCTAGTATCAGAAATAAAACGAATATTCTTACATTTTTCAATAAGCCTGAACCGAGATGACGTTTTACCCCCGACCCTATACCATAATAGTTTTTAAAATTCTTTCATATTAAAATTTTTGATTACTTAGAGAATACAGGAACAATAGTCATAATTAAAGAACAAAACCAGCGTGAAAAGGATTATGGTCTAGAGACGGGGGTAATACGGCCTCTCGTTTCAGGCTTATTGGTCTTATTTCATTATCTGATAAAAGCTTTAAGTGGGATATTGTGTTATGCGTATTTTATTGTGTGCTAACACTTAACGTTATTAAAGGCATTAGAGCACAAAACGCACGAGTTGAAGTGTTGAAGATTTTATGTATTCAATATATAGCACAATCAATTTCGTTGTCAGACCGGATTTTCTGTTTTTGTTTTTTGAGATTAAGATATTTCTTAATTATGTGTGAAAATTTTCCATGGATTGTCATGGGAAAAAATTATGATTGCTGTACAGATGTTCACGATGTACATTTGACTGCTTGTAAAGTTTATATCAAGAATAAAGCACCACCTAATTTCTCTTTACCACTCAATAAAGTAGTCGCTACAGATTTCTTATTAGTGATAGTCAAATTTGACAGCAGACATCTCGCAAAATGTTGTTGTTTCTTGCAATGTTAATTTTTTTCTAGTCTAATTGCTGGCGTCGTCAGAGGGAGTACATCCTTATGTGCGGAATTGACTTAAGAGCAAATATTTACTGGGGGGATCTAGATATGCATGACTCAGGCTTTGCCATCACGTTAAAAAAAAAATCATATTTACTGTTGAGACTACGTGCATAACAAGATGATAAATGCGTCGATGATGTGAGAATGGTTGACTAACAGGCTTAAAGTAAACATATCTAATATATAATAAGAATAATTTTTTTTATTTTATAAACTCGCTGATTTTTTATTTCATTTTGAAAATTAATTTTAAGATTTATCTTTCGTTGATTAAAAAAAAAAACTTTTAATTTTGTTCCTCAAATATACAGCTCATTAAACCCTGGACTTTCATAAATCAAATAGTTTTGTGCATGTTTTGATCACAACTCGAGGTATTTTTTAAGAGATTAATGAGGTGAATCACTGGAGTGTTTCCGATGAGACAAAAGAAATGACCTCAAGTTGTAGTTCTAGTAACCTCTATATAGACGTTTTATCAAAAGCAATTGCATTCTTATCGTTTTTGACGTGTTCTTCGCTATTCAAAAGCACTGAACCCTGCGCTGATTATCAAACTATTAACCAATCACAATGGCCTGCCATTTTGGATTCCGTAATCGCTGAGTGTAATGTCACGGTCGTTTCCCGACAAAATAGCCGATTGCGTGGGAAATGAGGTAAAATGTATTAACTACTAAACTGACATAGTTTAACGTCGTCATAACTTAGCACATGCTATTAGTAATCACACACAAGAGATATCTCGAGTCAACGAAAAATCTGAACACATTCTTTTCGGAAAGATATTTAATGCTGTTGGACTGAACAGCTATCATGGGAAACTCCAGGTCGGCAAGTTTTGAAGTAGATCACCCACCGGGTGAAGTAACTCCAACGAGACATTCAAGCCGAAAAGAATTTACCTTTGTTGGCGAAAATGACAGTAATAATTCCAAGCCATACATTAGTACAAGACCTCCTGGCATGTATGCGGATGTATATGCAGAAAGTTTAGTGAGCGAGAACTCGAGTAAGGAATCAGAGACCATTTCTACAGTTTCCTCGACCTCTAATGCTGTGAAACGTCCCTCATTTGCGGATCACTATACGAAAACAGCTCCATCAAGATTATCTATATCCATTGATAACGAAGATGGCATCAAGACAGACACTCAAAAAACAAGAAGCGTGAATCAACATCCAAGTCCCGAATCATTTTTTGATGCAATATTTGCAACCATTGAGCAAGAGGCTGGAAAGAGGTCCCCAGTCCCACCAAGACGATCACCGCATACCATGGCTAAAAAAAGATGGACTACTATGTTTAGTTAGAGCTAACAGCTGTGATTGAACAACGCAGTGGAAAAAAACAAAACATTGCATTTGATGCTTGTACGTATACAACGTACGCTGAGGAACGTCTTCTGGCAAATGCCTCTCAATATATTTGCTGAACATCTTTCATTCTCGCACGAAAAAAAAACATTTTATAAGACTTGACCAAAACCGTTCGAAATTTTTGTCATCAAACATGAGCTATTTCTTTAGGCTGAAGGATGTATGGAACAGTGATTGCATTGAAGAGAAAACATTAACATTTGGTTATCAATGGTTCAGTATCAATGAACAAAATGTGTACACCGTGCATTTGATTATATAGACTGACTACCTGCGCTATTATATACTTAGATACTTACTGTAATGCAAAAAAAGAAGAAGAAAAAAAAAAAAGCGTAGTGGTGGACCCTACAGACAAGACAAGGATAAACGAGAATATCTAAAAGGGAAATCAAAATATTTAACATGTAATTGGTTCAAAACGCCTATTGCCATTCGCTATCGTATTGATAGATATAACAAGAATTATACTTATATTGGTTGATTTTTCAACCCATTGCCATACTAATATTTCACAAACATTCAGGGCAGTATTATATTTATTTATTTTATCTCTAAGCATGAGACGAATATGTGCCCACCCGGCCTCGGAACAGCTCAAGTAAATTTTATAAATATTTTATTGACACTAAAAAGCTGAATAAAAATGATAGTTTATTGATATACAATTCTTGTTTTCGTGTGGCTTTAAATTCTATGAATTCCTTAAACCCAAACTCATGACAGGGTCGTATTTCCAGTTAACCCACTTTCCGCCATATGTGGAATATTTGCGCTGCCACGATACCACGGCTTCATACCGGAGCTGTACACAATTTGGGACTTTGTTATCTCTTTGTGTGCTTGAGATCTTTCCGATTTGCTGCTATCTCTTTTCTATAAACGTCAGGTTCTCAGGCTTTCACTTTTTCTCTTCTTAAGGCTTGTACTTCCTTCTACTTGCTCATTAATTTCGCACTATTACTTAGACTCAGAAATATATCCAGCGTTGTTGTTTATAAACGTTCCACTACCATTCCATAGCCAACCTCTGTGTATTTAAAGATTGCAAACACCATAATGATAAACATAAGCTCAATTAGATACATTAATTTTTGTGTTGTTTAATTTATGAAAAAAATTCTGCATGAGCCAAATCGACCACCACATCACTACTAATCAAAATTAATATTGAAAAGACAATCAATCAAAATATAGTGCTGACAAGAGGCAAAACGATACAAGTTTGTATGTCTCACCCAATTCCATCCTTCCATCTTTTCTCTTGTCAATGATGAACGAAACTTTAGCAAAAGCGCAACCTTTTAATCACTGTAGGGGTTACATTAAAGTTCTGGCGCGCAAGATTCATTTTCTAATTTTGCGGTCTGAAACAAATTTTTCGTTTTAATTATCAAGAGTGTGTTAGATTAAATACATACCATGCGCGATCATTCATGGCAGTGTGTTGATGCGTAGCTTTCTGGTAGCTTCAAATATATGCAATTGTCTGAATATTTCCTGCTATCTTCTTACTTTATGCGCAGTAAGGATGCGCAGTAAAAAGTACGGAATTATCTTAATTATCAAGAGTGTCCGATTAACGACATATCATTCATGATCAGTGATGGCAGTGTGTTAGTGCGTGTATCTGGTAGTTTCAAGTATATGCAATTGCCTGAACATCTCCTGCCATCTTAGTTTATGCGCAGTAGGAATGCGCAGTATAAAAGTATGGAATTACCTTAATTACCTTATTAAGTGTCCGATTAACGTCATATTATTCATGATCAGTAATAGCAGTGTCTTATATTAGTGCGGTATCAGGTAGTTTCAAATAACCATATTCAATTGTGCGCATGTGGGATACGGTAGTGTGCGCAGGGTCTTAAAGCGGGATATATCATTTTTGAGCAGTCGTGATTGTGATATTGTAAGCTTTTCTTTACATTTTTTACTTTTTGAGAAGCACAAAAACACTACGTTTCTATTTGAGTCCTTTGATGCTGTAGATTTTGCACTAAGTGGTGTAATTTTGCCTGAACGGTAATATGTTACTAGTTATTTAATATCGGCAAGGGGACTGCCGCTCCGTACCAGTTTACTTGCATGTTGGATGCCTTTTTCATGGCAGGAGAGTAGACATTTTTAAAGAACACTGTCCAAGTACAAGTGCTAACTAGGCCCTTCGCTAAAATTAATTGAGTGAAAACTATGACCAACACTTTGAAGAGCACTGGGGCACTGGCACTGGCACTGGCACTGGCACTCTTATCTATTCCCCGCTTAGTCGGGCCGTGATCACTTTGGTCTTTCCAATCACATATCAAAACGAAATCCCTCTAAGCTTTTTACGGTGCATAGGGCTCAGAAGTTGTGAATAAATTCAGCTGTTAGAAAAGCTATCACAGCTTTGGCAGACGTCGAAAATTTGATATCATTTTCTTGGCAGTACATAGACTCTTGCCAATCGAAAGTCATGATAAGCGTGACCATTATATTGCAAAATGAAAAAACTATCTAGGGTGTAAAATGGCCAGGGACTGATCGTCGTAAAAGATAAATTTATAAACACCAAAAAGGAGAAAGTTCGGGCGTGGTCCTGGTTTATTATTATTTCTAAATATACCACTTGAAGCACAAGATAAATCATTTAAAACATTCAAGTGTTCTTAAAACATACTGCACGTGCTAAAAACCAACAGCTTTTCATTTTTCACACCTAATAGAGGGAGTGACCATAATTAGTAGAGGGAGGTACCCTCTATTAACTATGGAGTGACTTACGGTTTCAACCCCTCTAAAAGATACGATCATCCCCACCTCCATCCCCCGGCCCCCCACCGGGGGTCCTTAAATAGCCTTGTACAGACCGATACGAATATCTATGAATATTTAACTAGGATGACGTCCTTTAACATATGTAAATTAGTGGACTTAATTACATGCATAGATGGACACCACTAATGTCAACAAAAGGAACAATAGCTAATCTACCTGTAAAGTGTTCCAACAGCATACCTGTAACGCTAGATTCTTGGAACCGCGATTACGACCCTCCAAATCCTTAAAATGTAAGTAATAAGCAGCGAGATAACATAAAATAATTTGAATGAGAGACCCGTATTCTTATTGTACCAGCTTTAATTATTCAAAACTTAGAAAAAGCTGGAGAACTACTTAATGCTATTTGTTATAGTTTGGGACTTTTCGTACTCTCCTAACGGATCACGGTGATCTTAAAATTAATTTAACCCAAGGCTATTATTTTACAAAGTCAAATCATGTCATAACATTACTATTCTTTGCCCTAACGTGTCTGAAAAATAAACGAGTTTGTCTTAGTTATTTCCGGGACTGCATTTATTATAAATCTTTGCTCTTTGTGTTGTCAAGATGGACTCATTCTGGAAGCGATCGCAGACTTCGTGACGTAACTACGAAAGCTCGCGTTGGACAAGCCAGAGGTAAAAACAACTTGCATCTTTGAGCCAAGTCTACGTAACAAAGGTGAGTTAAACTGTGTTATCTTGTATTAAAAGTCTTAAGTTGCTTGTACTATATAACTTTTTATTTGGGCGTCTGGATTAAAGCTGTAGAAAAGTTAATCGACTATGAATGCGTCGTATTTATAGGATTTTGTGGACACGCCATCGTTCCATTCTTTTACTGACTTCAATATTATTTAAAATAAAGAGCTGCACTTAATTTACGGATGTCTGCAGACTGTATTTAGCGCGATTCTTTATAATATCGCTTACGAGTTACACTGGTCTCCCGCTACAGTAAGTCAGCCATGAAATACTTCGGCTTTGAACATACATTGTAAACAATTTATTGGAAATAACACAAGGGTATTACTAAAGGTTTTAGCGTATTCATCATAATCCTTATCCAAAATTTCACCTTATCCTTGCCCTATTTATTGTACACGGAATTCGAAGTCATGTGATGCCAATCATATTTGATTGTCTTAATTATTCCTGATATCCTTTAAAAATGTTATGAGGTGTTTAATTCAAAAAGATAAATTCGCTATACTAGCATCATTCTTTCGAAATCAACATTATTGCTCACTAACCAATGAATTATAAGTTTCGAAAACATATAGTATGAAATAATTACCACCTAATTTTAAAGCAAAATAATATACCACACAAATAACTTACTGTATAACATTTTACTATATAATTTCCATAAATACTTAAGAATAAAATTATAACAAAGCAAGATTACAAATATTGACATTTGAATATTGAATGCTGGATAGAATAGCTAAACATATTATGTTACAAGATTGAAATTTCAGGTAAAAATAAAGAAACATTTCATAGAAAGAAGCTGAAGAACATTTTAATTATCTTAGTAGAGACTCATCGTAAATGGAAGCTATTTAAAATGGTGTACATATTCAGTACTAGTATTTTGAGACAATATTTCAATAATAAGCTGTATAGTGATACGACTATTTTCAATAATGAATGTATGTATAACATCTGCATAACATGAAATATGACAGATTGTAACATTGCTATAAATGGAAACATAATACACCCATGCATGAGTCATCCTATAATAATTTTTATTAACATGCTATCTACATTAATTCTTAATTGACATGGTTTGAAATTAGTCTACTTAAGTATCCCAAGCCATATATTTATAACTTTTTGCGAACTGCATTTAAGGACAATAAAATAGGGTACGGCACTAATACATGTCTATGTTCCACATGAAACTGAAATGGAAAAAAAGAGTTTTTGTAAAATAAATGTTACAAATTTTGCATTCTTATAATACACTCTACAAAATTACTCTATTCTGATTGGACAAGAGGAGTACAATTAAATCCCAAATTGTACTGTGTAGAGTCTCAATTAAGTTGCTCATTTTTTTTTAAAGTGTATTATAAACAAAAAGATTACACACTCTTCTTGTACAATTTATAGATACTCATGATGTTTTGGAAGTTCGCATAGGGGCAGATCCAGGATTTTGTTCAGGGAGGGGTGATGTGTACAATGTTAACTCTCCGAGGGGTGCACCCCTTAGAATCAAAGGGAAAAAGCAGTTTTGGTTATCTTCGAAATAGGGGCACAAAGAGGAACCAGGAAGGGGTGTGCACCCCCTGCACCCCCCCTTGGATCCGCCCCTGTCTCAAATTGAACTCGACTAAAGGCTTGTCCAATTCAAGTTTGAAAACTTTCAAAACATCAATTGTACCTATAAATTGGGAATTTTACGATATAGTGCTATTTCCTATATTAATTGGCTGGAAGTTTGTGCTTTATGAAAGCACACAGTATGTATGTACTTCCTATTGAATCACTTCTATCTAAAATAACATTTATTCTTTGCTCATGGCTGTGCTGTGTTTAGTTACGATTATAAAACACTTTGGTATTGGTGAAACACTCTAAAAGTGTTGAGAAGCACTCTGATACTATACACATCATGCTTCTACACATCATGTTCAGACTGCCAATCCCTATGTGCTTTATAACTGCAAACAGCAAGTGACCTGTAGGTTTGCAGGTTTTTTCCAGAAAATATCTTTCCTCATGGAGGGTAACACTGGAGTTTAAAATTAGTTCTGCTGCAATATATTTTTTGTAATAATCTACATGCAGTTCTTTCCAATTTTGATTATTAAATTAAGGCCATTAAGAAAGTGGCAGGCACTGTTTGCATGCAGCCTTTTTTAGCAATGAGCTTAATAGTGTTGTGCACTCATCATAATGACATAATTCAAATCTCTTGATAAGCAAAATATCATTAGAACCCTACTTTTCACTTCTTTAATTATATGGCAAAATATCTCAGAAACCAATTTGGTGACTCCATTTTTCTTTGTCTTAAAATTAAGAAAATACTAAAATCCAGATTATGTAAATCTAAACAAATTCTGATATGCAAGGGATTGATTAACACCAAATTTACAAAAACAAAATCCACCTATCAACGAATTCAAATTCTATGCATTTTTGACTGCATCACACTGATGTAAGTTTTATAAATCCTTATCATTAATTCTTATACTCACATGTCAGAAGTCATGTGATGACCATGAATTTTGAATGTTTTGGATTTTTTTCAAAGTGTTTCCTTGATTACTTTAGGCTACGCTATAACATGTTTCTTTTCCTTGATGAATACCTTATTTGCTCAGTGTTATATGAAAAAAAATCATATTCAGTGACCCCTATTTTTGATATCATTGTTTGAACAAGAATATGTTGGGGTATCTTATTGCCAAGTTTAAAAACAATTCTGATTGCAACTTCATTTGTCTGTGAGCGTCCTTAAAAACCACAGACAGATCATTCGTAGAAGTTTCAAAAGGGAAAAAAAGGTTATTGATATCACTTATAAGTAGAATGCAAGAAAAAAGCTTGATTCCAAGATGTGATAATCTGTGTCAGAAGTTTCGCAGGGGGCCATGAAAGTGAAGCAATTTCTGGCACAAGGCTTCGTTGATATTCATTTTTTGTCCAAAATTTGCCTTTAATTTTCTCATGGTCACCCCTGATACTTTTGATACTAAATATAACCATTTCACTGTAGGATATAAATTTGACCAAATAGGATTTCTATGAGGTTTGTTTCAATGGAATTTGGTATGAATAATGCCTTTCACTCACGATGGATGGAAAGGTACATAATGCATTCCCCCACCAGAAACAACCTAGGGGCATAGCAAGGTAATGGCATAAGAGGGAGGGGGACGCAATGCCCCTCACTACACCACATGTACAACCCACTGGATAAATTATTTTCCAGCAAATACATATGTGTACACACTTTATCTTCAGAGTTTCCAGCTATATCCACAGGTTACTTCAGTTAAACATTTTCTTTTTTTTTTAACTATGCCACATGTACAACCCACTGGATCTGCCACTGGAACCCCATCCTCAGAAACCCAGGGGTAACATTCTGTGGCTCCTTTCTCGCTCCCAGAAAAAATATCAATGGGCATGAAGTCTGTTACAGCTTGTTCAGGAAGTCCTAATTATTTTCTTTCCTGATTGGTCGACCTGCTGGTGTAGACCAAAAGTATCAAGTATGTGTAAGCAAACCTGTGATTGCATTTTTTTGAATTCGGACTTCTGGAACAAGGTCTAACAGACTTTGTGCCTAGGGGTATTTTTCCTGGGAGCTATAAATGAGTGACAGAACTTTACCCCTGCGATCCTGAGGATGCTGGAACCCCAGAGGCAGCTATTTGTTTGAATGAATTTGAGTTTTGTTAGTTTAAAAACAGTAGCATGAAAAAGCAACATGCAACATTATGAACATTAACAACGACAAAAATATTTACAATTCCTGGATCCAAAGTAAAACCTTTATTCTCTTTTTTCACATCTGAAAAGAAATGGGATAGGAGCAGGGTGGAGGAAGGTATAATAACTGAGTACATCATTGTAGGACAAGGATATTAATAACAAGCTGTCAATGGGACAAGGTATTAATAGGTGTAATTTGATCACCTATGGTCTAACATGCAGATCACAGTTAACAGAAGTTACAAAAATAAAAAAAAATAGAGTCCTTTTATTTTTTACAGCATTAACCATTCAAAATCATTTTACTAATACAATAAATCAAAGGTTCAAATAAATTCTAATTAATTTCCTTTGTTACAACTGATTTTGATCCTGCAACCAGCTATTTTTACCTCTTATATTTTTTCCAGAATACAAAAATTATGACTAATCAAGATATGATGATATGATGAAAAAATATTTTCCATTCCTATGACCAATCATAGAACATTCCAGAATTTCTAATTATATTGAGCATAACCTTTGAAGCAAAGCAATTCTTTGTGTGATTGATTGACTTCAAGCCTTAAAACCATTTTTACTTCTTAGAATAGATTACAAACCATAGACTGATTTGTAATTGGCTTGAAAATACAGCACCTCAATTCTTTCAAACAGTTTTCAGTCCAAAAGTACCACTTCTATAATTGATCAAGAAGAGAGTTCAAAATCTTGACAGGAGAAAAATTATCTTGGGGGTAAGTCAGTGTGAGGCATCAGTTGTTTACACGTTCTTCGATCTCTAACCTACTGCGTTTGCTAACAACAATCATGAATAAAAAAGTTATCAATTCTTTCTTAAACTCGAAAATTTTGAAAATACAAATTGCAATATCTGTTGACAGCTCAGCTCTAAACAGAGTTATGTTAAACTTTTTTACTTCTTAATTTATAAAGGCTCTTCATAAATCGAAGGTTTGTAAGTGCTTGGCTAAATCTTATATCGTGACCATAAATCTTATTTTCGACAGAAACGCTATTTTATTAATCTCATGAGAATATTTTACAATCGCATCTTAATTGATTAGGTTCTAATGCCAATAAACAAGGAATTACCATCGTTAAATGTAGATGTCTGGAATTTAATATTTTTTATAAATAATATGTACCATTTGTCGTGTGGTTCTTAATTAGATTTTACTGTGTTTTGTTTTCGCGTTAATTGAAAAATGTTTCTTGGTTTGTCACGTGTCTAATGAAGCGTTTTAAATAGCTTTATGTCAGGCTTTTTATATAAGTACTTTATAATTTATCATGAGAATCTTATCATAATTATTCCTAATAGTTATATAATAAGTAGATTTAATTTACTTGTAAAAACTATAACATGAAGTCTCGAAAATCTAAGTTAGCCTGTTCCAAATCAAGTATTTCTGCATTCATCTCTTCAGTTTGTGTTATTTCTAAAGTCCTTTGCAAGGCGAGTGGTTTATGAATTGCTTGGATGAAAGTGTTTTTATTAAGATCCCTAACACTATTTGCGTGCGCAAATGCTCTTTTAGATTTGCTACTATAGGTCCATTCGCACGCGCCACATCATGTAGCTGATTTAGCGCAATGACAGTAAATTTTCTTGATACATCAATGATGTTTATAAATGAAGTATTTCTTGTAAATTTCTTTGCAAGGCTTTGAAGGATTTAAAACGTCAAAAAAAAAAAAAAAAAAAAAAAAAAAAAAAAAAAAAAAAAAAAAAAAAAAAAAAAAAAAAAAAAAAAAAAAAAAAAAAGAAAAGAAAAGAAAAGAAAATCAAAAATTTGTTGGTATATATTTGTACTATTAAAATTGGATTTTTTCATGGGGTTAAACAAGGTCATAAAACAAATTGACAAAAGAAATCTTTAAATTTTAGAAAAAGAAAGCCTTGAAATGTTGCACATGTGTCTTCATCAGTCAGAAAGTCTGATTTTTAGAACAAGTACTCGTAAAAAAGTTAATTAACAAAATTGTACAAAAGAGTACAACGTTTTGTAGGTCTACGGTCTACTCACGTCTACATAATTTACTAATTTGTCCAAATTTGTGGAATTTCTTACAAAGTTTTTCACGTATATATGGTATGCACTGTAGTAATCTTACTGCTTTTTAAAGTAAAAATCCTTAAATCATTTTTCTAGAGTAAAACTAGTTAGTTCCTTCGCCCGGTTTCTTGCTATTCAACGCATTTCAATTGCAAGGCTATTCCTTTGCTCACTGGGTATAAACTGATCTTTAGTTTCTGTGGAATTTAGTTTTATAATTCATGTAAGTTTGTGTCCATATCGATCTGTGATTATTCCTACTGTTTTCGTTGCCAAAGTAACGGTCTTAGCTTCAGTAAAATGAAGGTTTCTTTTCTCTACTTCAGCTTGTAGCTTGTAGCACCACATAACATTTATATTTGTGATGAACCTTGTCTATAATTTTTTGACAAGCTATGATTAAAAAGTTAATCCAAGATTGGTTGTACTAGAAACACTGAGAAACAAGAAACTGTTTGTTTTAAATTCATGTTAATCCCTCTTTTGCACCTCGTCCAATGAGGGACCAGTCAGAATATCAAAACATTAATTCCTATTGAACCATCTAACAATAATACTCTTGATCTCCGACAAGACCTGATTACTATACCGTGTAAACGTGCATAAATTAGATCCCCGGTCCCAAACTAAGTTAACTTTACGATGTATATATATACAACGGCTTTAGAAATATAAACTAATTATTCGCAGTTTCGAGAGGTTCGATTTGATTCTTTGAAAGGTCCCAAGCATTAACCAAACATCCTTGTTCACCATGTTTTATACTAACACCGTGTTAGACAAACATAGTTTCAGCCTCACCGAATACTTAAATCGCTAACTTTTTTATACTGGTAATTGAGGAAACACATCAGTAATGGCGTCCATGGATATCAATTCCACATGGCAAAGCAACGAAAAGCCTACAAAATCAGTTAAACTTTGCACTTTCTGTAATAACTCGACTAATGGTTTCGATAAATGGCTACATCTCGCAGAGCAGGACAAGGGTCCCTTCTTTCCAATTCTTGCTGACATTCGTGGAGAAGACACTGTTTTTGATAATATGGGAAGAGCGCTCGTTTGTGTCGCCTGTTTCCATCATCTTCTCCGGCAATGGAGTAGTTACGAACGACGATGTATTCCATTAAAAAAGCGACAGTATAATCTCGTTGCAGGTAGGCGTTAAAATTATTAAAACTCTTTCCGTAGATAAGAAAAACGAAAGCGTTAGATCACGGCTATAATTGCATTTATTGTGAATTATAAACAATCAAATCTTGCGTTCGTTCAATTTCAACATATTTCTTTGGATCTCTACCAGAAAAACTAAATAGGCGGTTATACGAATTGTATATACCAGGGACACAAATCTTCGAAATTGAATCAATGTTTATAACAACTTTTTGCAATCATCAGGATCATGGTATCTTTAATTTTTATGTGTTTATGTTTATATATATGTAGATCAATGTCACACTCTTGTTGCTGTATACCTACTTTGAATATCTCAAAAAGATTGACCAGCATGAAGCCTTAAACGTATGACCACACTGATACACGAACACAACATTTGTTTTTTTAAGATGTTTTTTAAGTTAAAACATAATGAAACAAAGAAGTCTATAAAAAGTTGTTGGGAATATAATCAGGTGAAACTTAATGTTTACTTTTTTGGTAAATCGACACCTAGGGCTAATGGCACGAACCATTCGCTTGTATAACAGTTCTTTTATAACGAAAATAATAGCGAAAAGAAATCGGAAAAACTCTTTGAAGACTGATGTGTTGTTTAGGGGAAAAAATGGATGAATGAACTTAAAAGTCAAGTAGGTTTGTGGTTGAAGCTATAAGAGAAAAGCGTTTGACTCTTTTGAATTGACAAGGCAAGACAAATAAAATAAACTATTGTTATCAATTTATGATTTTTCCTGCGAATAATTGCGATGGAAATAGCAGATTCTTAATTGAATAAGCCGATAGATGGAAATTTTAAATACATAGGTTTATAAGAGAAGTTTGTGGTTATATGGCCTCAAATACCCCGTAATCAGATGCTGCAATTAAACAATTATTTTAAAAGTCTAATATAGTATAATAAATACTCTAACCCTGATGATGGCCAATACGGCCTAAGAAATCGGATGGGGGGGATTTAACGCAGATAAGGCAAGTTTCTTCAGTTAAAATATTATTATTATTTTTTTTGCTGGAGCGCTTGACTTAATTAATCAACTCCCTTTAATAACAAAATCATATTTTTTCTATTCATTTTTCATTCATCACACTTTAGCTCTTTTTGTCAGTCGTATGTACTAAAGTGTACGATAATTTATGTACAGTGTGTATATCTGTATCTTAAGACCAAAACGCGGGAAGTAAATATTTAAAGAACTTATGTATGTTTTATTAAATGAAATTAGCTGGTCCTTTTGGGAGTTGTTTTGGAGCGTGTTGTTTAATTTTCCCGCCAAAAATACGCCTTGCGCGTTTTATTCTTAGATTTGTCACTTCGCTTCGCAGGATGTGTTTTTGTTGATCCGGTATTCAGTATTTTTCCTTCAGCACGTTGTGTCGTTTATTAATTAAAACGAATCACGACGGACTATAATTCTATGCGATCAAGAATACAAATAACTGCCAAAGCAAATCACAACTGTTTTTCTGTCCTAAAGTCACCGTTTACCTTAGTGGAGCAATGTGCAGAATAAGCTTACAAAATAAGATGATAGAAAAAAAGCTGAATATGCATGGCATAAGGAAAAATGTTTCTTTTTTAGCTTACATTTATTCAGTGGCCAAGTACCACTGATACTTGGTCCCTGCTGTTTATCTGAATCCCAGTAGAGGCGTATCCAGGGGATTCCTAATGCTATTACTAGTTAAATTGGACTCCACTCAGTCCATTTGCCACTAAAGTGCACACCATAAATCCGTGAAAAAGCTAACAATCAAAATTGTACAAATTAGTGAACTCAATGAGTGCAAAGTTTTGTAGGTTTACGGTGTACTGAGGTCTACTAAACTTACTAATTTGTGCAAATTTGTGAAATTTCTTACAAAGTTTCTCACGGATATATGATATGCACTCTATATTATTACACAACTTTGCTTATGCATTTTTCTTCTTAAAGTTTACTAAGGGTGCAAAATGGTTTGGCACGACTACATTTTGTCTCATTATCTAACAAGTTTCTGATCCCCCCCCCCCCCTCCCTGAGAAAACTGGGACGAGAGAAAATTTGCATTAGCAAAGTAGTGTATTGTTAGTGTTACGTGCGCTTGATCAGTCTTTCAGAGTATTGTAGGGAAGAAATATTTATCAAGTTTAGATGGAAGTGAATCCCCATCGGTAATCCTTGATAATACTAGCATCCCTACATGCAGAGGCGTCAATAAGCCTGCGATCTATAACTGCTGTTCGCTAATGACGTAGTCCTTTTTACAATATTGTCTTGAAAAAAATCGTTGTTTGAATTTATCAGTTTGTAAATCAAATTGCTAATGTAGTGAGTTTTCTTACTCTGAATATACTTATACCCTGAAATAAGAAGCCTTAGTTCATACATAATGCACCTTGTTTTTAAACTGACCTATGTTCTTTGTCTCAGAGTGTTTCCAAGATGAGCGCTCTAAGAATAGACATTTAATATTCTCAGTCTTTTAGAAAGTTTAAGATGTTATGATTTTTATCACCATTGATTGGCTGCCTTTAATGATTAGCGGATTGTCTTCAAAGCCACAGAGAGTGTCCGCCAGGGAAATCCTGTAGATTGATCGTGATTAATAAAAATTAGAGTCATGTGACTTCAAATTCATAGTTAAAAAAGTCGAAAAGTTATTTAGAGGGTTCGAGATGTCTATTCTGTGACTTAATTTCGGCAAGCTTTTGTGAGGGATAAGCAGTCAAAAAGAAGAAAAAACAACTGACTTTCCCAAGGAAGCTGAATTCTCTTATTCTGCAAGGATATAATCGCATTTCTTCCGCTTTTTCTGTCTTCTCTTCCTGATTATTGCTGTTTATACAAAGTCTGCAACACAAGGTATATATTTGCATACAGCTGACGCCTTAATGAACTTCTATGAATAATATAGTCTTGTAGTTTCTTACTTAACTTCGCAAATACAATGAAATATTTCCAACAAATCCGCATATTCGAGAAAGTATAAGCGGTCAAAAAATACTGTTGAGTATTTAAACTTCAGTTTTATTGCAAGTCCATCGAGCAGTAGTATTAGTTTTCTTAATATTCTTGGTGAGTAAATTTGTATAAAACTCTTCTGTAGCATTTGTAGTCAACCTTGGTAAAATATAGCTTATTCACTAGCGGCATAAATCATTTGCAAGCCCTCATCAAGGTCTGCGTCTATTTCTTCCATCGATTTAACATCATGATATCATGTCATAGAATTTACTACTAGTACTCTATCCCGAACCACTTGTTATCTAACTCAATATTTTCAGTTCTCAACTGGAACTATGATGACTTCTTGGTCTATAAGGTCTACTTGACTGGCTCTATTTCCTTCCGTGATCGATTTAACATAAGAGACACTTACATTAGGGGGATTTAAGGATTAGAGATAACAGATAACATGCCAGGCTAAATAATTTAAGGGATAAGGAATAGATGTAGTCAGTATAAGCAATCGAAAATAAGGTATAACTGTTCTCAGAATGGACCCAATTCACCTAGGCATAATATTTTCCTATTCCAGATCACATGCCATTCTCTTGAGAATAAGATTCTTTATTTTAGTGCTATCCATATTCATGTGTCTTCTGATGCCCAACCATTAAACAAAAAAAACGCTACTCTAGGGAATAACATGTGATCTGAAAATGGGAACAGACATGCAACATGTTTGAATATTAATTATATAAAATTATCTGACAGGTGCTATTTGATGCAGAGTTACTTGAAATTACTCCTTCCGCAGTCACATATATCATCATATAATTATGGATCCTGCGTCAGTGCTTACATCGCATTGATTCTTGAATTTTAAATTCAAATCTTTTGAATAATCGTTGCACATGTTATCTTAAACGCAACAACTAGCTCTTATAACGCCCTCGTCGGCGTCAAGTTAAGTTGAGTTAAGTAGGGGTTAAGTAAGAAAGGACAATGACGGGCCGTTGTTTCTTTGTTTTCTTACCTTATACGGATTTAACTTTTAATGGTAGCAATTAATTATGAATGTTAAAGGACTGTTAGGAAGTGAAAACCTAACTGGTTATGTAGCATCAAATTTCACATGGTTGGTCTCTAAATTATATTCATTCTTTAATCTTTGTAATAAAAAAACGTTTATATATTTCACCAACGATGCGGAAGTATTTTTTTCAAAGTTTTGGAACCTAAATACTTCCAATAATTAATCTTGCTAAGTTGTCTTTAACGCGGTCCCATTCCAGGCATTTCCTCTCATTATTATTTTTCATATTTCTCGATAATGCAGAACTTTGTCGATACATTATATGAGAATAAAACAAGCAAGAATTTAGGGCCAAATATTTGAACTTTGTTACTATTTAGGCGTACACAAGGAGGACCAGAAAATAAAATGAAACGTTAAGCAAGTACCTATCTGAGAATCATGATCAGATATGTGGTTGTGGTTGTGTTAATGATGTGACTATTATTACCACAAGTTATTTGGTATAGTTATTCTTGCACTTCACAGAGGAGAAGCAGTAACACAGTATAGACCCCTTGCAGGATATTCCAAATGCAGCTCAATAAATTCAGAAGACAAAACAATAGAATCTTACTCTCATGAGAACCGAAATTTATTGTTTAGTCCTCGATGTGGCTATGGAAATTGCTGAACCGGTCTATTTCTTTGTACAGGAACTGAATTCCATGATGTGTTATATTACATGATGTAGTTTTGACAATTATTATCACTAGTTATTTGGTATTGTTATTTAATGTAATATAATTATCTGTTGCACTTCACAGAGGAGAAGTTATCGAATTTCCAAGTCAAGCGGGAAGAGGAGATACGTAAAGAGGGCGAATTCAAGCTCAAAGAAATCAAACTACGCGAACAGAAAATAAAAAGAGAAGCACAGGAGAGACTTGAACATTTTAGGCAAAAAGAACAAAGTATCAGAAAAGAGGCTGGGAGACGCCTCTTGGAAGAAGAAGAAGAACTCGAAGCAATCAAAAGAGAAGCGGAAAGACAACTGAAAGAGGAGCAAGCCCACGAGGAAGAACTTAAACGGTTGCTTGAGGAAGAAATTCAATTGGAAAGGCAAAAGGGGAATTACATTAGGAAGGAAGCAGAGCGTTTACTACGCGAGGAAAAGTTACTTAAATCGACTAAGCCACCTGCAAACGTTAGGACAGAAGTACTCATTCACTCACCGCAAGGCAGAGCTTTTGATCAGATAGATTTCGATCATTACTCGGATGAGAACATAGCCAAAGATACCGACTACGACAACACAGACGGCATAATGGAACCAAGAAAATCGAGAACCATGGAGTATGACCCCGTAACAGGATGTTACGTAAGGAAAGTTCCTTTAGATTTCAGCGATAAAAGGGTAGAAGACATAGTAAAAGAGGAGATGATAAAGTCTGAGAGGAAACCAAAGCCACGATCGAGAGACCAATCTTGGAAGAAACCCGAGGAAAAGGAAAGTGGTTCAACGCCAGATACGGCACTTGTTGACCTGTCGTTACGATCAAGTGATGGAGATAACTCTCTTCCGCATTATGTATCAGGAGAAGGAATCGAAACGGAGTATAAATTCACTGTGAAGGAAGAGATCAAGACCGAGTCGAAGCCTTCAGGAGTTGACAAGAATGGTGAATTTGCCGACGAAGATATCAAAAAGGCAGGACAAGAGATGAAAGCAAAATTCGAGGATGACAGAATGAAGTTTGAACGGGATTCTAGTGATTTTGTCATGAGTGAAACCACAAAGAGGTCTTTCGAAAGACGTCGTCGCAGCGATGAAGACCCTGACACCAAAAAGGCAAAAGATGAAACAAAACAAAGAAGAGTATCCCTGGACAGGAGACTAAAAGACATGGAGGAGCGTAGAGCTAGGTTGTTCAAGGATTCTCCTGAAGATAAGGTAGACAGCGGTGAAGTCAAAATCACTAGAACCGTGACTACTGAAACGTCTTACAGCGCTCCAGCATCATCAGAGGATTCGATGCTTAGTGAACGAATGCAAGACACACACAGAAGACATAGGAATCGTGAAGAACGAATCAGACGCCGGAAAAATGCTGAAGAATTGATCTCCAAGAAAACGTCCGAAAGTGAGGATAAACCGATAAAAAGCACGGGTGTTAAGCTTGAGTTGCGTGGCTCAGCTTTGAAGAAAAGGGAAGATACAAGTTCGAAGAATGACTCTGAACCAAATGCGTTCTCAGGTTCGAATTACAGCTATCTCCATGAAGATGATACCAGCGACATCTCATTTACCGTGAAAAAGCCAGCTGAAACCAAAAAAGACGATGACGACATCGGCAAGTTCGACAAAAAGGAGTCAACTTTTGATTGGAAAGAGAGCGAGCAGAAATTTAGTCTAAGAACCAATGAAACAAAGACGACCTCGGTATCTTTAATGGATGAACCAATAATGTGGTCTCAGCCTGGGCGTGGTACTGATGACGACATATCATTTTCAGTCAAAGAACCAAGCAAAAAACCAGACGGCGACAAGGTCGAAGAAGAAAGAGGAGAAAGTAGGAGAAGCTTAATAAAAGAAACGGAAGTTAAAGTAGTAGAGTCCAAACCGGTTCAGAGCCTTTTTTCCAGTGATTTTGGTCAAGAGGAATCACAAGACATTGTCTTCTCCGTAAAAGAAACATCCACTTCCACTAAAAGTACTACTGAAGACGATTCATCCAAGTCCAAACCTAAAGAGCTGACTCTAGAAAGAGGAACATTCGATGAAAAGTATTCCGTTACATCTACTACCAACTCGGATCTTTTGCGCTGGGAAATGGATAATGTTGACTCAGGGAAGTCATCGGAGCCAGAGCCTTTTGATAACATGGACGGTTACAGAGATTCCCTAAGACGTACCAACGCTCTTGGACGCGTAGGATCTTTCAAAAAAGGAAGAGAAGAGTTGCCTCCAGCCATCTTCCACGACATCGAGTCTGATGCACCTGCAGCGTCATTGGTAGACATTCGCACGGAAAGTCCTTCTTTGCCAGCACCCGTATCAAAAGATAACACAATGGAGGTAAGTAGTTTGGTATGTTTTAAGATTTTTACCAATAGTCTTTGACTTATTTTAGAAAAAGTTGTTTAATCAGCTTTTTTGCCAGTTGTGGTCTCCAAACGTTGATCTTGAAATCGTAGAGGAATTTCGCTGTAGCCCGCATATTGTTGATAAGACCAATAATTTCTCCTTTGGGATGTGTAACATCTTGTTTTAGAAAGAAATTGCGTTTTTTCCCTGCCGAACGAGACTGCTGCTGTGAAAGTCCTCTACTGTATTTAATATTTATTCTAGTCATGACCATCGCCATGGCATCATCATCATCACTTTCCTCATTGTTGTCCGTCCTAAACGTTCTCTTCGTGGCCTCCTAAATTTTTTTCATCATAACTGTTGTTGCAATTTGTCTTAAGGAGGCTCTGGGTAGTTTTGGTCTGGCACACCTAGCCGCATTGAAACGGCTACAACTTCGTCTTGAATAACTCGATCTGCAAGCACTTTTCACGCAATGTCAGGAAAGGATTAAAGGTTTCAAAAATGATAAATTATTTTAAAGCGGCCTTTTCATTATGACGTAATGAGGACATCATAGAAATATTGATTTAATTAAAGTCCCTAAATTAAAGTCCCGACTAAAGTTTGTTAAAGTTTGACTAAATTAAAGTCCCGATTTTGAGGGTATAAAGTTGACACGCTGGAAATAATAGTAAAAGTCCATGAAAATATTCATCGCGTAATATTTGGAAAACGCTCTCATACATTTTTCTTCATATTGCAATATGTTGGGTGGCTTGATGACTACTATCGACTGGTGCAACCTTTAAACCTTTAATCCTTTTCTGACATTGCGTGAAAAGTGCTTGCAGATCGAGTTATTCAAGACGAAGTTGTAGCCGTTTCAATGCGGCTAGATGTGCCAGACCAAAACTACCCAGAGCCTTCTTAAAGCTAAAAATAATTGATAACCGAGAATTATGACAAAAAGAATTTTTTAAGATTTGGGAATAATAGATTGTTTCCATTTGGTGGGTGGTTTTTGTCTAAAAGAAAGACAAATATAATGAACAAGCTTGTTAATCGTCAAGCTTGCATTGACGCGGTGTGAAAATATCATTCATTGACATACAGTAGTATCTTAATTAGTAAAAATATTGTTTCTGATAAACCACTAAAATTGTTCGAAATACACATTAACACTTAGTTTTCCTAACTTTTTCATTTTTTTAACGCAACTGCAATGCATAATTATTTCCTTGCAAGTGAGACTGACTCAAAACGTAAGGTGCCCCTTTTTAGTCTAACAAGTTTTTTTAAAGTTTGTTACCGTTGTGCGATACTCCGTAAAAGAAAAATTTTATAATCTTTTTTTATTATTATTTTCACATGTCATTAATACACGGGGGTTGTAAATTATTGACTCGTTCATCTGATTGGTTTAAATCTATGAAAATACTGAATTATTCATACAATTTTATTTCTGTGATCGCTCTCATTTATAATGAGGCGTTATTCTCGTGTCTGCAAACTTTCACCAACTAAACTTTGCAGATAAACAGAAATTCAATCTCATTTTACGCTACGATTTTGCTTTCTCTTTTTGCTTTAACTCAATTGTAATTGACGGTGGTTTTTTTGGACTTCGTGAAATCGCTGTCAAGAGCCAATTTCTTCTAGAAAGAATTTTGATATTCCATCGGTATGAGTGCACCGGCTGTTTTGTGGTTTAGAGGACAACATCTTCCTATCAAAAAGGTTTGTACCTTACTATAAGCCTTAAGTTTATGGAATTTCTTTCTAAGATCTTTCCTAAATTCAAATGATTACGAAAAAAATTCAGATATCTATGACGTTTGTCATCGTAAACTTCCTTTGGAGTAGTTTGTATTGTCATACACAATGAAATACTTCTCATAGTACAGCATGATACGGCTGCGTTATTCTTGAATATTCGTTCAAACAGTTCTAAAAGTACTTCTAAGAGAATATGGATGCAGTACTAAAAATAACATTGCATTTATACAAGGATATCTTGAGGAGGAAGACTTTTCTCTGCCCAATTTAAGTGGAAAAAGAAAATATGACCACCGTTCAAACAGTTAGACTCCCACTGATTTAGAAATGCAAATTTTCAATTTGACCTTCATTCTTTTCCAATTTCTAGACCACTGATTGTGGATAAAGGATCTCTTGTTCCTTTTATCGTTACTAAAAATACTTAACTATTATCGGTTTATATGACTTTTTGTTTAGTGTAATTATGGTTTTATAAAGAGGCGTTCGCGTAAAACGTCTAATATTCGAAATATATTAGAGTGAAGGTATCTAACCCGTGAAATAAAAAATACTAGTCAACGTGTATTAGTTAAATAGACACAAAGAAAACAATGGAATTAGGGGCTACTAAAGTGTATTAATCAAATATCTGTTTCACGGGTTTAATGACTTCACTCTACTGAAATTGAAGGTAAAGACGCTGTTGCCGTGACAAATCAGTTGATTGTGTAACAGCACTAATTTAAGATGATGATGATGATGATTTAATATGCATGATGGCAGCCGTGATGATGGTATTGTTAATGGTTAATGATTAGCCACTGTTACGGCTTCTGATAATGAACACCATCACATGAACTATCTTCGTCTGCTTAATCAAAAGTACCTCTGCCTATATTGGTCAAGTATATTACAGACAATTTAACGATGCAACGTCTTTTTATTTTAGGCGGGTCAGGCACCCAACTTACTGTCTAAACTTCAAGACGAAGATCATAGCGAAGAACGTCGTAGAAGGAGACAAGAAATCGAAGAAAAGAAACGAAGAATTGCCGAAAGCCAAAAGAAAGCAAACGTTCAACTTCGGAGAGACGTATCAGGATCTGAGAAGACAAAAGATGGTGCTCCTGATACCGGTTCGAATGACAACATTGAAGATCTGAGTGAAAAAAGACGTTCTCTTCTGATGATGTGGGAGTCGTATGCCGAAGGAGAGGGCCCTGGGCCCGAAAACATTAAATCGCAGGAAGAAGGGAAAAGTCAGTTTGGATATGACGTCATGATGATGGAAGCTGCTCAAGATGATGTAAGTTGGGACAAATTTTACGTTTCGCTTACTATGACTTGATACCACTAATACCAGGATTCTTTTTGAATTCCTTTTTCCTTATTCATATGTTTTGAGTCTTTCAGGAGTCCTAATATAATAAGCATAACACAAGAAAGGATTCTGGTATATAATAGTAGCATCAGGACATAATAGTGTTTTGCTGTCAAGTTTGTTTAGCATTAGGGTCGGTGTTGCGTTCCTGTTTCACTATCAGGCCATAACATGAAATAGGGAATTACTGGAGGGGAGGGGGGAGGAGGGGGGTCGGCCATTATTTGTTGTTTCTACTGAGTGATCCCCTTCCTTGCTTGTCGTACCGCTTGGAACGTAAAAAAAATCTTGGTAGTGACCACCCTTAGTGCCTACGCCTCATACTAACCACCTCTCATGATTGCAAGCGCCTTAGCCGGATTAGTGTATAAATACATAGAAGTCATACATATAAATCATGAACTGTCATTATCATTAAAATAGTACGCTAACTTACGGCCATGCAACCCAATTCCATGTAACTGAAATCGTAAGCATCAAAAAGAGAATCGGCCAAGTAAAAGGAGATATTAAAATTACACATTTTGTCTTCAAACAATTGTTGATTGGGTCATTTTCTATACGTTGTTCGTATATTGACCCAAATGCCTCGACTTAAAACAATCGTTTGAATGCAGTAGAGTGTAATCTTGATATCTGCTATTAATAAAAATCAAAGGTTGGCGCCATTGATTACTAAACCAGCCCGAATTCAGATGGAAGCTTTGTCATAACCATTACTTGTACAGAGATGTCAAATACAATATCTTCACTGCATTCAGCCTGATGCTAATTACTTATCTTTAATTTTAAGTGACGTTCAAAGGGTTTAAATGTTTATACAGTGCGAATTCGTTTGAGCATGTTAGTAATAATTAATTAATCAAGCCCAGCAGAGTTTTATTAAACGAAAACCAAGGATGCTGTTCCCTTCATTATGGTTTATAATGACTTCATATTCCTGCTTGAGTTGATGATTTGAATTGCTTATCATCATTACCAAGTGCATCAATATAAATTTGGAACTTTTGTTACACGTAAGTCTCCAAACTACCCATGGTCATTTAATACTGAAAGTAATATCATGTAGCAATATCTTTCAGTGTTAGTTTATATAGTCTTGATTGGTCTGCACTCTTGACTTATTGTCTTAAAGTTGTTTGTAATCTCTTGAGGGAGTGTAATTTACACATTCTGATGAAGAGTTTAATCAAAGTTGTCACTCTCAAACAACGCCTCTTCAACGGCTTGATTAATAGTTAATTAAAGTACAGAAACACCCGTAAGGCAATCGGAATGGCGAAACAAAATATTCTTTTCTTTTAATTTAGAGTAGTAAAAGTTTTCAAAAGTTTTTCCTTGTTGCGTGCACTTGGGAATGTGTGACAAAACATTGTTGTATCAGTACGCATGCTCGTCTTTTTCACTGCAGCGCAAGCAAGCTGCTGTGATGTGCCTTGATTTTCTGTCTTAAAGATTTTGCTATATTCGCTCGTAACTTTCGTACCTCTTTTGCTCTAGCCTAACGCCGTATTAGTAGACTACCGAACTATGGATGTTGATGATGAGAAAGAGGAAACCAGAGCACCAATGATTGATATCGACGAGTACCACAAACTTAACGATGATGAACTCAAATGGGAGCGTGCAGGCCAGTTCCAGCCTGGTAAACTCAAAACGAAGTTCCATGAAGTGGGCAAGGATGACTCATCTTCTGAGCCGAAGAGTACATGGCGTGGAATGAATAATAATGATATATCTGGTGTATCCACAAAAGTTACCCGCGAAGAACAGCGTTTCAGCTACAAAACACCAGTCGAAGAAGATCAAAGGTACGAACATAATATAGCAAAACATTTGATTGACTATTATTCAATTTCCTTTTAAAAAGTGTCTATTATTTGCGAAACTCACTGCTGAGTATAAAGATATATTTTGATAAAGATAAAACACAGGAAAATTCTTTATTCGAGGAAAAACCGAGTGTGTGACAATTATGGTATTGTTTGTGTCTCTTTAAATTCATATTTCTGACAACAGATGGTAGCTTCTCGCTTGTAGTAGAGATCCTTCAACAGTTTATTATGTTGCTTAAAACAATTCAGCCGAGATGTTATAATAAAACCGCAAAATGTCTTTGATCACTGTCGAAGTATGTCCGTCTTGATTTTGTCTTTATAAAACAGTCTGGTTTTTCAGTGTTCATTGCTGTACTAAGTACAGGAGTATTAATGACGATGCCAAGTTACATAGCAACCAGAATGTGCTGCCTAATTTCGAAGGTATTAATTCACGGCAAGGTTTTCCAATTATGAATATTCGAGTAAGTATCATTTTCGCGTCCTCTTGTACTTGGTCGATTATATTACTTGGAATTCGAAACCAACCAAGCGTATTGCGTTTGTTTAGCATTATATATAGCGAATTGACAACTTAGTCTACCATTAGTCTTGCCCTAGATAAGTGACGAGGAATGACCCTTTAGCTTCCATGCAATTATATAAAAAAATCTAATTTTTAAAATGAATTTTGTATATATTTTAATATTTTTCTTCACAAGTTGTCGGTATGCAGAACGACACAGTTATAATCCCCTTCGCTATTCAAGAATTTTATTTGTACAAATTCTACAGTCCTCGAGCTAAAAATCGTAATCGTAATCGTAGTCTTTCTACTAGACTAGAGATATGATTAATGTCTGAGCAATCTGTTTGTCTATTGTTTTTCATTTCATATACGAAGACTACGTTTAGACTGAATATTTATGATGTATTTATGATATTTAATACAGTCAATTTCGGAAAACACAGCATAAGATATCTCGGACCAGTCTTATGGTCTAAGCTTAAGAGGAACGTTAAGTCATTAGATACCCTAAGTAAATTTAAAAGACACATAAGAACACTTAACTTAGGTGACCTCATGAGTGATAATTGCCAAAACTGCCTCTTATGCGCTACCTAGTAAGCGTATCGATCTGAGTATCGAACACATGTAAATTAGGATCAGTTGGGGGTGGGAATTATCTTACAGTTACTATGGGGTCGGTGGGGTAAGGATTTAGCTTGTAGTTTACACAAAAGTGTAAGAATAATGGGTATATTTAGTCGGAGGGGTGGGATATTACCGTAAATTAGATAATTGTAAATATCATATAGGGGTTGTTTTAAGGGTTGGAAACATGGGATAAGATTTTTATTGGTTTTATAGGGTTCTAGATAGGTGTCCCCAATTAGTTTATTTAAATAAGCTAGAACGACATGACACAGTAATAAAGTTTATTATTATTATTATTATTATTATGTCAACCAAACCCCATTAATTTGTATTTTACGGAGTGTTGATGATGTTGTTATAAATAGTTCTTTAACGTCATAATTTTTCTTAACGAGCGATGTCACTGGATACAGCTTTGGAATTGTTTGTAATTGACTTTTGTTTTTGTTCGAGCAAAAACAGTCTTATCAAAATAACAGACCAGGGGTCATTTCATTTAATTTATATTTTGAAAGGTTTTTGATAAAGCGCACCAATGATTGCAAACGAAATTTATCTTATACAGCAGCAAATGTGTTACGAGTTATCCTGACACTGGCTAGTTATTTATTGTCACGTTATTTCTCTCTCGACGCAGGAATAATCTACATGCAAATTTTGTTTAGAATTTCGCGATAAACACTTGTATAGGGAATAAAGAAGCAAGACGACCAGCACAAATTTTTCACAGATATAAATTTCGTCGCTTTCTGATTGGTCCAGAGCCGTTGTAAATAAGAGGACATACCAACGAATTGCGTCAAGGAATTACGAATTGCTCGCGCACGGAGCTAGCGCCCGCTTGAAACCATTTTTCTTTCAAACTTTTTTTTTTGTAATAAAAATTTTTTTCGATGACTTAGAGTTGTATGTCTACTTATTTACCATGATATGACCGTCGACAGTTGGTAAGAATTAGTTATGTACCTACTCGATCGACTACGTCTCGTGAGTATATAACGCTTTGACCAAATGTTGACGTCATATCGTAGTATAAATGATTAAGAAATTTTAGATTAATAATTCTGAAATGGAACTTTGTATCAAAGAATTGAGACAAACAGGCGCCGAAGCCTCATTGAAACTCTCAAACTTTATGATGTATCAAGTACTAATCATTCAAGGGCCACAAGAATTTTGATTGTAATTTTGCATTAGAATAGGAACTACGGATTTCCTGCCACAGAAGGCAACTGGGAATGGGAACAGAAAATAAAATGTGGTATGGGATATTCTAGGCTGGAAAATGTAATTAGGGGAAATGGGATCGTTTTAATTTTTATTTTTGTATGGATGAAAAGAATTAGATATTTATGATACCCTAGTTCAGGGGGACAACTGGGAATGGGAAATAGAATGTTGCATGGGATTTCTTAAGCTGGGAATTAAGTTTGGGATATATCCATTTATTTTCTACTTCTAGCTGCGCAATGCTAATTTTCATTATCACTTATCTATTTTAGTTATGCCGACAAGACAAATGAGGTAGAGAGTGCTCCTAAGGTAATGCATACTTTGATTAATTTCAAAGTTAATACACTGGTAATGATAAACTTTGCTTTGTTGTAAGAGCAAAACAATTAGCATACTTATGAACGTTTCCTTCTAATAGGTATCATAAAAACTGTTGAAGTGTTAAATTTCAGCTATTCCTTCCAATTTTTCGAGAGGGAAGAAGATATTAGCACTGTTTTCATTAATACACACTGATTGAGACATTAGCGACATGAAAATCGGGCAATACACGGCTGTCAATCAAATAAATCGTTAGTTTCGTCTCAAAAAGATAACGCTTACAAAAGACCTTTTCTTGACGTTATCAAAATGAAAATTCTTCAAGTTTAGGTATCGCGCATGCTCGCGCGGCGCGCGCCATAAAACTCTGTTGAGCCTCCTTAAGCGGGGAAGGGGTATACCAGCTTCAAGCCGAATGGGCTTTCTTCTTAAAACAAAGATCGCATCTTCTATAACGATATTCTACTTACGTTTTAATGAACAGCAACTGTGGGATAAATCGCAAGGTCAATCCACTTTTAAGAGTGATGATGAAGACGAAGAAGGCACTTCAAGGCAGCCTCACGTTGATATGGATGAGGTGTATCATATGACGGAAGAAGAAGCGCGCTGGGAAAAAGTCGGCCGTTTCCAGCCTGGAAAAATCAACACCTCAATTTTCGAGTGTAAGTTCTTTTTCCTTGAAAACAAGAAATTTATCCAAGTTATTAAAATAATAATAATAATAATAATAACTCATTTTAAAAATTCATAGCTAAATTTTAAAAGTCGGGCCCGGTGAAGCTGAACTAAAAGAGATTCCTCCTATATAATTTGCATCCATATTATTCTATTTACATTATATCGTTTACTTATTTCACTATATAGATGACAATGTTTTTAAAAAATCCTTTTTATAGCTCGAAAGAAAGCTGATAAAAATGGAGATGAATCGTCCAAAATTCAAAAACGCGAGAAAAGCCGCTATGAACAGATCAAGAAAATCCAGAGAACCGATTCCAAAAAAGAACTACTTGTGCCCAAGAAAGTTTCATTGAAATCTGATAGAACCGAGGACGTTGAAGAAGAAGTAGAAGAGGTACGTTGTCTTTATTCACTGACAGAGTTTTGCTGTTTCTACACTAATGTTTTGACAATACTGACAGCTATTTTCAAAAAAGTCGGTGAAAGTTTTGCCAAGTGCTGCATACCAAGCTTGAAACTCACTATGGGCGGTTTGAATGCGCCAATATTGCAAACTTTTGCCTGCACTTTTTCTGGAATATTTTGGGAAGCACGAGTGGCGTAGCGATGAGAGTGCTCGCCTTTCACCAATGGGCCTTATTCACGCGGCAGCCATGTTGGGTTGAACAATAGATTCCACCACGCGTAGCCTCAAATTCGAGCGCTTGAGAATTAATTTATGCTGGGGAAACAAAGGTTTTTATTCTCATGAGAATAAACATGGCCGCCGTGTGACAAAGGTCCATGCAGTTCTTCCGGTTTCTCCAGTTTTTCCTTTCTCCGCAATAATCAACTTCTAAATTCTAATTCGATGTAGTAGCTTTATCAATTCAAGTGGGTTGCAAAACCTTTTAGCCTTTTCGTTTACCATGGAGTGCTTTTTGACGTTTTCTTTTGTGCTTACATTATTTACATATATGACCCACAATTCATTTCAAGCTTGGTATGTGACATGCAACAGGCTATCATTCTTCTAGAATCCTTGCCTAGTTTTTACCCAGTAATGGGAAAAATCAAACATTTTTGCAATTTCTATCGATGTTCTTTTCCTACTAAAAATGACAGACGGATAATAAGATACTGTAAAGTTTCTTTCCTAATCACTGACGGCCTGAAATGCAAGGAATGCTTACAGCAGCAAACACATAATTGAACGTAAAAAAACTATTCGGGTAACATCGAGTAAGCCATTTCTTTCGGTTTTGAGGTAGATTTGAACTTTATGTTATTCAGGATGAAAAGCCCCATGTCGGCAAGATTGCCACGCCCTCATTCCATGCATCTGAAGAAGACCGCGAACGACAAGAACGAGAAGCAAGAAATCGCCGTGAGATGGAAGAAATCCAAAGAGAAAGGGAAGAGGAAAGACGAAGACAAGAAAGGGAGTATCTGGATTCAAAAACAACCATCAATGAATTTGAAGATGATGAATTTGATACCAAAGTCAAATCTAAGGATGTCGGTAAAATTGACATAACCAAGTTCGGTGATTTCCAGAAAAAGTCAGAACCCATTCCAGACAAGAAGCCAGTATCAAAACGATCGACCAAACGAATCGTTGAGACTCGCCGTGAAGACAAGGTCGAGTCGTTTGGAAGGACCAATTTTTTTAGCACAGAAGACGAAGGTTACGACATCCAGGTAAGAGATAGTTCTGTAGGAAAGTTAAACATGGACTCTAGTCCTTTCATACAAAGTGATACCTCAGTAAAAGAGACTAGTCCACCACGTAAAGTCCAAGAAAGGACTCTATCTAAAAAGAAAGAAATTGTCGTTCAGGAAATTCCATTGGAAATGGCTGCCTCGCCGTCACAGAAATCCGGCGAAGACGAGTTCGATAACATGACTCGCGCTCGAAGTGTTAAAAAGCTAGACGTGAGCCGATTGCCATTTTCTCATAATAACTATGACAAAGCACAAAGCCAGGACAATCGTCAAGTGATTGATAATAAACCTCTTAAACACGATAAAAAAGATAAATCCCAAGATAAAACGCCTCTTGAGGAAGACAGGAAAAGAGAGCGCGAAAGGGAAAAGAGGGAATGGGAAGATCAACTAAAACGAGAGCGTGATGAAATTGAACAAATTAAAAAAGCACACGATAAAGCTTTCCAAGATAACGTAAAGGGTGGTAATGAAATTGATGATACTAATGATTATGAGACTGAAAATAGGAACGTAAGAAAGCTGGACCTGAGTATGTTCTCTAAGTTCCAACAGGGTGATGCAGGTGGCAAGAAACCTGAACGAAAGACCAGCGATAAAGCCAGTAAGAGAGACTACGGCCAACGAGATGTAGTAGTAGTGTCACAGACGACGAGAGAAGTTGAATCTGCCCCAGACTATAGCTATGAAGAAGATGAATATGAAATAAAGCGACGAAGTGTTGGGAAGCTGAATAAAGACTGGTTGTCCCAGGCACAAGAACAGGAAGCAAGGGAAATGGAACGTCGTCGCAAGGAAACCGAAATGGAGCGAATCCGAAAAGAGCAGTACGAAATCGAGCTGTTGAAACTGGAAGAGAATAAAAGACGCGAAACTAAAGGAGACGAAATCTCCCGAGATGAAATACAATTGTCTGAGAAACCACAAAGTGTTAAAAAGCTAGATTCCACTTCTATGACGCCATTTCTCAAAGGCGGACGCCCATCGCCAGAAGGCAGTGGGGTGCTTAGCAGGAAGAAGAGCAAGGACGAAGTTCGACAAGAACGCAAGCTTGCTCGCAAGGAAAGCCGTAGTAAGATGGAAACACGCGAGGTTTTGTACGCTGAAGAAACTGAAGACGTCCAGGAAAGTCCTGAATCTTTTGACGACCGTCCAAAGGTAGTGGGAAAGCTGAATACAGGAAAGTATTTACAAATGATGGGCGAAGATCACAGTGATAAAGAGCGACGAAAAAAGCTTGTTGAAGAAGAACGAATGAGACGTGAATTAGAAGAAATGGAGAGACAAAGAGAAGAAGAAGAAAGAAAGAAAGAAATAGATAGAGATGATACTTCAAGTTCTTCCTCTTCTGATAGACCTCAGAATGTCAGCAAACTCGACCTTGCACAGTTTTCACAATTCCAGAAGAAAGAAACAGCTTCGATGCCAAAGAAACAACAACCAAAGGAGAGAACAAGAGAGTCCAAAAAGATCGAAATAATAGAAAGACAAACCGTAGATGAAGTTGAAAGTCAGCCTTTTGTACCTGAAACTAGTGAAAGAGAATGGCTTGACAAGGAACGCAGTGAGGCTCTAGAGTACGAGGAGAAACGACAGAACGTAGGGAAGCTTGATGTTAATCGACTTATGCAGTCGAGGTCTGAAGAAGAACAGGAACGACAATCAAGAATTAAAGAACTCGAAAGACAAAGAATTTTTAGAGAAAGGGAAGAAATGGAACGCCTGAAAGCCGAAAAGAAAAAAGGGAAAAAGAGTGTTGATCTAGAATCTGACACATCATCGGAAGCATCACACGAGGRCCACAAGGTTTCTTCGGTTAAGAGTTCTGGATCGCAGCATGAGAGAGAAAGAGAAGAAGAGTGGACAATCGAAGAGAAAAGGAAAAGCGGTGTTGGAAGATTAAATGTCGATCAGTTCATGCAGTCTATGAGCAAAGAAGAGGAAGAAAAGAATCGACGTAAACTAGAGCTCGAAAAAGAACGAATCAGACGAGAAGCGGAAGAAAGAGAAAGGCTACGAATGGAACAACAGATGTCCTCGGAAAACATCAGAGTATCAACTGTGCAAGAAGTACATTCTGCTCCTGACCAAGACTTCTACGAACGAGCAAATAAAGACGAGAGAGAAAGGGAAGAAGAGCAGTCGGTCGAGGAGAAAAGAAAGATCGTTGGAAGACTTGATGTCAGTAGGTTTGTTCAGTCATTGAGCAATGAAGAAGAAGAAAAGCGGAGGCGTAAAATTGAACTCGAGAAAGAACGCATTCGACGTGAAAATGAAGAAAGAGAGCTGCTGAGACTGGAGCAAGAGAGGAAAAACAGGGGTGAACCAAGTGTAACCAAATCTAAAGAATCTTCTACAAAGTATTTCATAGTTCATAAGGATTCTAGAGAGCCAAGAGATGATCGAGAAGAGACTGAAAGCAGAGATAAAGAGAAGTATACGATCATTGATAGAGAAAGAGAAGAAGAAATGTCTGTGGAAGAGAAGAGAAAAAGTGTTGGAAGACTAGATGTTGGTAAATACATGCAGTCACTGAACCAAGAAGAAGAAGAAAAGAGAAGAAGAATGATCGAACTTGAGAAAGAAAGGATCCGTCGCGAAGAAGAAGAGAAAGAACTTTTAAGGTTGGAGCAAGAGCGGGCTATGGGCGGTGACGTAAGCCGATCAACTTCTACTGTTACTTCCAAATCCTCATTCGAGAAAACTAGCCGCACAGTTGTCCAGGATGTGGAGAGTTCGCCATATGATCAACCCGATGAAGGACTCCAGCAACCATCAAGAATAGACAAGCAGAGAGAAGAGGAGCTGTCTGTCGAAGAAAAGAGGAAAAGTGTTGGCAGACTTAATGTCAACCAGTTTTTCCAATCACTCAACGAAGAAGAGGAAGAGAAGAGAAGGCGATTAATAGAGCTGGAAAAAGAAAGAATTCGACGTGAGAATGAAGAAAGAGAACTGCTACAAAAGGAGCAAGAAAGATCAAGAAGGGGTCAAGTTGAACAAGTGAACGCTAGTGTCGTCCAGGAAGTACACTCGGCACCGCCTGATGACTTCTTCACCAACAACGACAAGAGATCGAGCCTAGAAAGGGAGAGAGAAGAAGCTACATCTGTAGAAGAGAAAAGAAAAAGTGTTGGAAGGCTGGATTTTAACCAGTTCATACAGTCCCTGAGCGAAGAAGACAAAGAGAAGCAAATGAGAAAGATAGAGCTCGAACGAGAGAGGTTGAGACGTGAAAAAGAAGAAAGAGAAATGGAAGAAAGGCAATACCGTGTGCGAGAAAGCTCTTCCTATTCGGAGAAAATCCAAACCAGCAGCGTGGAAGTTGTTCAGTCTGAAATTCCAGGGGAGTACGAAGATGGGGACTCTTCTCAGGATAAGAAGGAAGTTGGAAGGCTTGACCTCGAGAGGTATTCCCAACAATTCACTCAAGAAGCAAGAGAGAGGGAAAGGCGTGCCAGAGAGCTTGAAATTGAAAGGCTGCGTTTGGAAAGGGAAGAAATGGAAGGCCGCGGAGGAAGTCAAACTGTGCAGCATGAATCGTGGAGTTCTGAACGAAGAGAAACCACAGTCATCGAGGAGAAACGAAAATACAGGTAACTGAAACCTCTCTCCTATTTTGCCTTGCTTAACAGTTTTTATAGAGCGTTTTCACTTAGACCCTAGAGAGTTAACTGACAATACAGATGGCAGCCATATTGGTGTACCCAACACAACCTGAAACTAATGACCAAGTTTTTGTCAAAGATCAACCAATATGGCGGCTGTGACGTCATTTGAAAACGCTCTATAACTGACATTTCTCAACTATGGCACCAATGCGACTTATCTATAGGGAGGTGTTTGAGCTGGTCTCGAAGACCTTATTAGGGTTCGCATTTCAAACGTTTAGAGTTTATGGTCAAGCAAAGAAATAATGCTCAAAAACTGGCCTTGATTCGAAGTTAGAGCAGAGTGCAAGTTTAGCGGTTACGCATCAGAAGATACAACTTGAACAAACAATTTTATTCTCTAGGGAATGGCACGTAGTCTGAAATTGGTAAAATCGCATTCCGGTGTAGCTTTAACTCGTATATGTTTTGCTTACCCATCTTGTCGTATTTTGTTGCAGTATCACGTTTTGCACATGCGCTCATGTTATGCTATGTTCACAATTTTCACGGCGGCCATGTTGGAGGAATTTAACAAAAGAATTGTCAATGATTTCTTTTGTTATATCCTCCAACATGGTCGACGTGTCTTTTGTTATTCAATTCTCTTGGGAATGGTTGAAAACCATCAATACGCAAATAATTCATCTACGTTTGTGACTGGGCATATCCCGACATATGCAAGACACGCTCCAATTTATCAGTATTGAAAATGAAAACCGTCACTACTCAGTCACTAATTTAACCTTTTATATCTTATCAAGGGGCGATGAAGTCGACAGGAGATCTGAAGGACAGACTGAGTCTATAAAAGTAAGTTACATTATAATTTTAGGTTGCCATGGTTAAACGTTGTCGTTTGACAATTACCATTATGATTTATTCATTCGTGTTTCTTGAATAAATATGATGTGATTTCTTAAAGAGTTGTGGTTGTCGGGTGTGTGTGTGTGTGATGGTAGTGGTGGGGTATCGTTGATATTGATTCGTATCGCTACACCCTTACCATTAATCTGCTAATATCAATACTGGAAACTACAAATAAGTATAAATAAAACGTATTGTGGCTTGTGACTGAATTTTAGAGTGAAGATTCCTCTGACAGTGACAAACCCGTACCAAAGAAGCTGGATCTCAGTAAATTTTCAGCCTTCCAAAGCGGGTCTGGCGGCAAGCGCGCTACAAAAGACGACTCAGCTGTCAGGCGCCGAGAAAAAACTGAAGCAGGGCGCCAAACTAGACCAAAGAGCATCGCGGGATCGTCTTTTGGAGGCGTGGCTAATGGAGAGGCTAGATCAGGAGAGAGGGTATACCGAATAATTCACTAGATTTCGATAGGTTTAAAGTTTAAATTGATCTGGTATGATGATATATCAAGATGATAGAGTAGTTCAATGAGACAAATTAGATAATTTAGATATTGGAGATGAAAACTCAGCATAGTTAGCATTAATACACCGTACTTAAAAGTAATCCTCTTGTAATAGTAGAGATAAATTAAACACGATATTTTAATTTATCTCCAAACATTAAAAAAAATAATCAAATTAACCGGTTCACATTAATTAAAAGAAATTAGGCATTCTATAGCCACGTAAAATCTAAAACGCTGAATTGGTTGGGCAATGGTTCTTGAAGCGAGTAAAAATTCCAGTAAATTAATTCGGGAAAGAAACAGTTTTCCAGGACTAAAAGGACTTGCTTGAAGTATCGATGTTTTCTACGTTTCGGTTTTGGTTTTTGTATTCGAACTTTGAAAATCACTTTAAAAAAATTGTTGCATTTGACAAAATGTAATTTGGTTCTTAGTCATAAAATTCGGATTAAACTAATCTCGGTTTAAATTTTTTTGAGTTTTGATTGTTATTTGATGATGATGAATAACAGTCCACAAAATAAGCAAAATAATGTAAAACCTAAATCAAACTCCATCCAAAAGAGGCAATTGATAAATTATGTATTTTGTAGGATTAATTATTTAATACAACATATGATCAGCAAATGGTTTTCCTATTTAGTCACGTGCTTACCCACAATTCATTTCACTTTCAATCAGCTGATCACAATTTCACGTGACATGACTTAATCATTAATTAAAAATTGCATGCAATATTTGTAAGACGTTTTCTATTCAAATTTKTTATTGGTAAAAATAGAGATGTTCGTTTTGTAAAGGATTTGTAGTTTAATATAAACATTGCACAAACTTGATATTCGTTGTGTTATTTCCTTACACCCAATTTTTATAATCATCCAAGAATTTATGGGTTTTGGCTTCCTTGAATCAATTATTCCTTCTATCATACGATCGAGTCATATGATGGTCTTTTCATGGCTCTCGCTCCAGTGCCTAACGAAAACTACGACCGAGAAGCACTAGAGCTGGAGAGTCTCTGGAACCCTGGGTAAAAAATATCGGAAAAGTGAAATAATTCCATTCGTGAATGTTTCGCGACGTCATTATGCGGTGGCGTATTTATTTTACCCAAATACTTCAGGGCAAACCACAGGTAGCCCAAGCTTGGTTTCTGTGGTGTCCTGCCTGTTTTAAGATTTTTTCCCACACCAGTCATATTTCTTACTGGTGGGGGAAAAAATCTTAAAACGGGCTAAATTCAAAAAATAACCACGCAGAGCGAAAGATGTGCTATTTCTCAATGATCGGGTAAAATTTCGAGGCTTTATTTCACGTTTCAATGATTTTATTGAAATTTTTGATGAATCTCCATACATTTCCTTATAACAGGACACCACAGAAACCAAGCTTGGGCTACCTGTGGGCAAACTGGCCTTCAATAAAATAAGCTTGCTCCAATATATTATTACATGTCAAGTTTCACTAATGATGTGCAGCAGTATGCCAAAACAAAAGCCTCTTTCATGTTGAATAACAAAAGTTCAAGACAAATGGGGTTTATTGCTTTTATTATATGTTGCTTGTGTTGTGCACGCCATTGAAAACGTCTTCACAAGCCCTCACTTTATAACGTGACATCTTTTCGTTTAACTAATTAATTACCTCATGAATTGCTAATTACGCCGTGGGAACAAGATTTACTTTGTTGATTTTCAAAGTGTCAGTCGAAATATTGGAATCCATTACAATCGCATTTATATTATAACCTCGGCAATATTACTGCGTCAATTTATTGATGGCAATCGTTACGGAGGGGGCTTTCTATCGTAGTATAGCTATTTTACCTATTTATTATCGGACCAAGTGGTTAGGAAAAGTATACTTTTTTTTAGGGGTAAGGAGGGCTGGGGAATTTTAGTAAACATTATAAAAATGGTTGTAGCCCTCCCTTTTAACTCGGAAAGAAATTTATGGCCATCCTTTGAAGTATACAAAGAACTACTTTTCGTGAAAATATAAAGGTTTAACCCTCCACAAAAGTTCCAATTTTTACTGATGACCCTCCCCTATGAAGCCCCAGCCCTCACCCCCAATAAAAAAATGTACCTTCCCTTACTAATGTAGAAGCCCCGTCGTTTCATTTCTAGATATCTGATTTAAACCCCCTTGAAGTGAGCAATGATGGAGAAAGGCGTAAAGTGCGCACCATCGGATTCCTGGGAGATGAGCTAATTCGTAGCTAAAGGCACTAACGTTTTGAACAGAATATTACTCTAGCGGCAAACAAGCAAGGTCAAACTAAAACGCATGTAAAATGAACAGAATTTAACGCGTCATAACATAGGATTGCTATTAGTATTTTGCTGATTATCACGACCCTAATAATATCGTGTTACTGTTCAGGTATAAAGCAAAGTGTCAACAATGAAAAATGCTTCGTACATATACTGACAGCACAACTCGTATGCGTCCTAGCATGTTCTGTATTTTTTTAAATTTCTTTTTTCATGCGCCATGCACAAAAAAGAAAAATGTTCTTTACAAATAACATGTTGACTGCAAAATGAGTGTTTCCGTTGTGAAACACTGTACATCAATATTGAAACATCAAGTCGTGAAAAAATTACGATCTTATTTTTTCACAGAGAAATCGAAAATTCTCGAGATTTAATGACATTTCTATAACCATCGAATTCTGAATTTCTTGATCGTCATTGATAATTGATAAAAAAAGAGTACGCGAGCGGGCACTTAAAAAGACAGTGATTTATTGGGGTCTTCTATCGGCTTTTATATTTTGATTTATTACACTTCACGATATTGTCGCTAATACTCAGCTTTGAATTCATTACACTTATCGTAATTGGTCTTTTGAGCCCCAAGTATGTGGCCGGCCGATATCATTTAAATGCCTTTTCTGTTATATCCAAAGGATAAAATTTCTGCTAAAATTCAACAAAACAAACAAAGTTTAGATAAATTTTATGTTGTGGATATTAGTATTTTTTCGAACTTTTTGTCCAGAAATTATAAGGAACTTTCGTCGTTTTACGTCATGTTTTAAAAACCTATTTAACTGTTTCCTCACGGTTTGGAAAATGTTTTCTTCATGGACACAACGGCATTCATTTAGATTGTACTAGTATATTCATTTAGATTAGTACGACGTACGTAGCTTTCAATTCCAAAATCAAAAAAAGTTTTGTTGGGTTACGTAAAGCTTCTTCAAAGGTTAACGATGTCCAATTAATCATAATTACTGAGGTGAACTCCTCAAAAGAACTTGTTTCATGATTATTCTTGTTAGCAAAGGAATGTTAAATCATCACATTATTATTCAATCGTATTCATGTGATGATTTATTTAATACACAAAAAATACCTATACTGTTTTATCTTAGAGCAAAAACATCCCCCTGCTATTTGCACACCCCTCCCTGTTAAACAGTTTTTTTGTCCGTATTTCAAATATATATATAAAGGAATAAAATTTGAACAACGATTTTTTAATAGCCTTGGATAATTGAACTTAGATTGTACTTAGAGTAAGACATCGTTAGCCAGAATATGCTAGAGAGGTCTTTGCAGAAAGTCAATGGATGCCAATATCAGAGCAATTGTCGAATATGAGTGACAGAATAGCTTAAAATATTCAATGAACAGATAACTATCTTTACAAAACAAATTTTTCTGCATTATTTCATTATGAATATCCAATAAATTTTTCAATTCTCGCAACGACGAAAAATATATATGAATAAGAGACGCCAATACTACTCAAAAAGCGTTCCGTAGCAGTTTGCACTACTTGTTTCCTACTGAGTGTAATAAAGTTTTACCATGACAACCATGTGCAGAAACCGCATCCAGAGACACTGATCATTGTATTATAGATATTTATTGTCAGTTTAGTTAAAGAAAAAAAAAAAAAAAGAAAAAAAGAATCCAAATGTTTTGATTGATTCCACAGAACCTTACGCATAATAGGCAGGAATAGTAATTTATATATCAAATAATCCAGGCAATTTTGGTGCCAAGAATTTTCGTGTTTATTTATATCTGTAACGCATCATCTACCGATGCTGTGGATCCACTTATATATTCAGTAGTTAGTATTGTCTTTAGAAATAAAAAATATATATTTCATTGATAGACATTTGGACTTGCTAGACTCGTTCCTTCTGTTACCATATCTTGCACAGCAGTAGGTAAACTTGCAAAACAATTCTACTTCAACGATGTACTACGATGCATTCACATGGAATATGATGATAGGTAAGTCAAATTCATTTTTGACATTACTTCGGTATAGTACAGATGAGCACGTACATTCAATTGCCAAGTCATCTGGAAAACTCTAAATCAACCATACTCGAATGCACTTTAAAAATGCTAATCACTACTCAAAGCCTCCCACTTTCTGAATCATTTACAGACGCGATCTCTCGCGTAGCTTTGCTCGACAAGAAACTCACCACAGCCTAAGAAGACGCTAGAGGAGGAAGAGCCAAGAGGAGGAAAGCCAAAATAATTCAAAGTGAGTACCATGTTCATGTCATTACTCGCAGTCGTTATAATATTAGATTAATAATAACTTTTAGGGAATTCCTTAGGAGTTTGGCACAGTTTTAAGACTTTTTGAAGTTTGAGCGAGGGGCCCCATCGTTAAGCAAAGATTAGAAAAGGAAAAGTCTCATCTGAAAATGTCTTTTTCCCCTCGAGCTTATTGCTATTGGTAGAAAGAAGGAAAAAACAAATAAAAGCAATTGTTTTTTTAAATTTTGGCTCTGTCTATTCAAGGGAATAGTTTAAAGAGAAATTGTTCTCACTGACAACAAACCAACAACCTTACCAAAAATGCTTTCAAAACTTTTGGGATGATTATTTTTCTCGCTAAGTAATTACTTTTAATTGCACAGATAACCTAGAAACATAAACCAAATCAAATAGCTCAAAATATCTATTAAAATGCACCTTTCGGAGAGGGGAGGGGTGGGAGCGACAAGCAGAGTGACATAACAGGGTTGAAATGCCTGAACTCGATCGGGGTTCAAATGAGGCGAACTAATTCGGAAGGCCATAAGTATGAAGGTCGACGTTAATTAAAGTGTATATCAGGTCTAGAATTTTTTTACGGTTTTGGCATCTCTAGATGATATAAATAAATATTCCCAAAAAA